ACCAACTGAGCCACCCAGGCATCCCAACAAGGTGACATTTTAAAAAGTAGTTTAAAGATTCCTGGGAGCAGTGGTGGATGCAGACAGAGCAGCAAATGCGGGGCTCGATCCCAGGACCCTGGGATCATGACCTGAGGTGAAGGCAGTCGCTTAACCAACTGAGCCACCCAGGCACCCCAAAAAGTTGACAATTTTAAAAGGTTTGTTGCTTAGTGTGGTTTTAGTGTGTATTGCTCCTTATGTGGATATATCTCTGATTTCATAAAATGAAGGTTTGAGAGCTTCTCTAAAGTGGCATATGTCTATTTAAGTGAGTGGAGGTGTTCTGCTTTATATAAAAATTTGTTCATAAATTTTAGAATCTGTAGGTAAGAAACCCATTTATCAAAGTAAATGTCCTGATTCCTGAAGATTATACTTCCTTGATAGCCAAAGACAGTAACATTCTCCAGTCAGTCCCTCCAACCTTCATTCACTAAAATTCAGTTGGTAGTTTATTGTTTGGTTTTTAAAACAGACACATGAAAAAATGCTCACAATCACTCAGCATTAGGGAAATACAAATCAAAACCACAATGAGATACCACCTCACACCTGTCAGAATGGCTAAAATTAAGTCAGGAGACAACAGATGTTGGTGAGGATGCGGAGAAAGGGGAACCCTCTTACACTGTTGGTGGGAATGCAAGCTGGTACAGCCACTCTGGAAAACAGTATGGAGGTTCCTCAGAAAGTTAAAAATAGAACCATCCTATGACCCAGCAATTGTACTACTAGGTATTTGTCCAGAGGATACAAACATAGTGATTTGAAGGGGCTCCCCAATGTTTTTAGCAGCAATATCCACAATAGCCAAAATATAAAAGAGTCCAAATGTCCATTGATACATGAATGGATAAAGATGTGAGATACACATGCACACACATGCACACACACACACAGGAATATTACTCAACTGTTAAAAAGAATGAAATCTTGCCATTTGCAGTGACGTGGATGGAGCTAGAGGGTATTATGCTAAGTGAAATAAATCAGAGAAAGACAAATACCATATGATTTCACTCCTATATGGAATTTAAGAAACAAAACTTAAGGGGGAGGGAAGGATAATAAAATAAGATAAAAACAGGGAGGCAAACCATAAGAGACTCTTAACTATGGGAAACAAATTGGGGTTTCTGGAGGGGAGGTCGGAAGGGGGATGAGGTAATTGGGTGATGGGCATTAAGGAGGGCACTTGATGGAATGAGCACTGGGTGTTATATGCAACTGCTGAATCGCTGAATTCTCCCCCTGAAACTAATAGTTTTATGTTGACTAATTTGATTTTAAATTAAAAAAAAATCATTTTTACTATTTTTCCTGTAGTGTCCTTAGCTTCTGCATATGCTTATCTTCATGTTTCTTTTATTTTCTCACAGAAAGTACTTCAAACTAGGAATTTAAACCTAATTAAGAGGACTGTATTAAGGATGCCCCTGCATGCTGTTATTCCATTGTTGCAAGAGGTAACTGAGTACTTTTTTCGTTTTAAGGTCCTAACACTATGAGTTAAAGAGAAAATCTAGTGTTTAGAGAAATGGAATTACAGTATGTAAGCAAGCAGGGTATTTAGAGTAGATAATAGATCTACTCAAACAAAATTTACCTAGTCCACATTTTTTAATGTATTTTTTTATTGAGATATAATTCACGTACCATAAAATACATTCTTATTTAATATGTATAATTCAGTATTTTTTCGTATATTCACAGGTTGTGCAGTTGTCATGCCAAAAAAAAAAAAAAAAATCATGTACCAGTTAGCCATTCCCCATTCTCCCTTACCCCCAGTTTCTGGCAACCACAGATTATTTTCTGTCCCTGGATTTGTCTCTTCTGAATTTTCATTCATATAAATTGTGGCCTAGATTTTTGTCAGGTAATTATTTTTACTGTGGGAATGTGTTCCTAGATTATGTCATACTGGTTGAACATTGAGGAATTAGGAAATTTAGGAATCCTTTAGGAGTAGTGATTTCCTAAGTCTTTTTTGGTGGGAGGGGCAGAGGGAGAGGGAGAGAGAGAATCTTAAGTAGGGTTCCCCACCCAGCACAGAGCCCCAATTTGGGGCTTGATTTGATGACCCTGAGGACCCTGAGATAATGACCTATGCTGAAATCAAGAGTCGGGTGCTTAACCAACTGAGCCCCCCAGGTGCCCCCTTAGTAGTCTTTTCTGTATTTTCTTTGTATCGTGGGAATTGGTGCACATGAGCTGCCTCTGAAGTGCGGTTGCTAATACTGTTTTTCTCTCCCTCAGCTTACAAAGAGATTGCAGGGACATCCTAATAGGTAAGATATTTAGGCAACTTAAATTGCTTTGATTTTATCAATATTTTAGGGGTGATTCTTAAAAACAGCAGTTTCTGACAGCATGAAATTACATAGTCGGCAGCTCCACACTCTTAAGTGGTAAGACTGTGTCTGTAAGGGTCAGATACTGCTCTTCCCACTTACTGTAAGTTGAGTGACTCTTATTCCTAAGATTTTAGTACAGTTTTTTTCCTTTCTTTTAGGAAACTCCTGTGTAGTTTTTCCAGCTTCATTATCAGGTCATGTAATGAATTAGTCTTAGTAACGTTTTAGTCCTCTAATCAGATGTAAAATTGCCTTTTATAGAACTCCCCCAACCTCTGGTTGCTAAGACACTGTAAGGAAGTATTTTATAGGACTGAATTTTGTGGGTCTTTTTTGTTAATAATTTGATGATTAAGTATTCAAATAGGGAGTTGGTATCTCAGAGATCCTAAGGTGACAGTATAGTATTATCAGTGCTACAGTATATAGTTTTTTTTTAAATTTTTTATTGTTATGTTAATCACCATACATTACATCATTAGCTTTTGATAGTTTTTTTTTTTTTAAGATGTTATTTATTTGAGAGGGTAGCGAGAAAGCATGAGCAGGGCAGGGTCGTGTCAGGAAGAGGGAGAAGCAGACCCCCTGCTGAGCAGGGAGCCCAGCGTGGGGGCGATCCTAGGACCCTGGGATCATGACCTGAGCCAAAGGCAGATGCTTAACCAACCGAGCCACCCAGGTGCCCCTGTAATTTGTCTTTTCTTAAAAAAAAAAAAAAAAAAAATTTTATTTGTGCATTTGAGAGAGAGAGAGCACGAGTGGCAGGGAGGGGAAGAGGGAGAAGCAGGCTCCCCGTTGATCAAGGAGCCTGATGTGGGACTCGAACCCAGGACCCTGAGATCATGACCTGAGCCGAAGGCAGCCGCTTAACCAACTGTGAGCCATCCAGGCGCCCCTTTTCTTTTTAAGTTTTTTCCCCTGATAGACTCCATTTGTGTTTGGAGCTCACAAAGAAAAGTCAATTCATTGATTAGGCCCAGATTTTACACATTTTTGGTCTATATTTGCCTTTTAATGTGGCATAGAAATCTTAATGCTGTTTGTACCTGATGGTGAGTAGATGGTGGGCGTAAAAATGCGAAGTCAGTTGAGCTCAGTTTACTGCCTTGGTATCAGTTAATTACGAAGTAAAGCATGGGTTTTATTCTTGAATTGTTTTAGAGGAAGAGAGTTTTGTCCTGTTCAGTCCATGTTATTCTCCTCTCCTTCCCAAGAGATAAGTCTATTTCACAGATCTCAGACTCATGAAGGGATGAGAAGATCATCAAAGTCAGTGGTTTATTTAGTAGTGTTGTTTTTCACAGGGCACAATTTATAGATCTTTACTTGGCCTGAGTTTTTCTAATATTATAACTCCATTGTATTTAATTTTGAATTCGTGGATATTCGTTTACTTGGATTTTTCTTTTTTTCAGTGCTGTTTTAATGGTTCAGTGGCTAAAATGTGTGTTAACGGTCCATGCGTCCTACCTATCCACAGTAAGTCTTCAGCTATTATAGTTGCTGAATAGTTTGGCTTTGATGAGAATTATAAACTGATACGTTAATGAAACCGTCATCCCTCCACCTGCCCTTCAGCCATCAGCTGCTGCTTTTAAAGATTTTATTTTACCCCAGGTGCATTGTAATAATGTCATCGTTGTTGCCTTTTATAAATTGGCCTTTTCTTTGCCCTGGATTTTTAAAAGTAATATATGTTCTATAGAGAACTTTGAGAAATACAGAAAGGAGAAAAGTAACATACTGATAAATTAGCCTTTAGATTTTTTTTATGTATATATATAACCTGTTTAGCAAAATTATTTTTACAATGTATGTATCTCTCCATTGTTCTACCTTGTCCCAGGACAATAGAAGATAGCTTGTGGTAAAAATGAAGTTAAATATTTAATAGCTGTCATTTTGTGGGGCTGCTGTCAGGTCTTGGTTATCTATTACAAATGGAAGGGAAGAAACAACAAGTTTTAATCATTACCAGAAAACAGTTTTATAATACACATATTTACATACATTTCATAATATGAATTGGATTCTTTGCTTATTAAGTCAGTTATATATATGTGTGTGTATATATATTTTTCAAGATTTTATTTATTTATTTGACAGATCGCTAGCGCAAGAAGGCAGAGTGGCAGGCAGAGGGAGAGGGAGAAGCAGGCTCTCCGCTGAGGAGGGAACCCAATGTGGGGCTAGATCCCAGGATGCTGGGATCATGGCCTGAGCTGAAGGCAGCTGCTTAACCGACTGAGCCATCTAGGCGCCCCAAATCAGTTACATTTTAAGTTTCTGGAAATAAAATTATACAATTCACTTTTTTCTTTTTCTTTAATTTTAATACCTAGCAGCTTATAATTTTCTTAATAGGTTATAGTGGATAGTTGAAGAAAGTTCTTAATTGCTCTTCTTTCTTAACACAGTTTCACCCAACTCCGCCTGGTCACTGTCCCTTTTTCTGTCTCAGGCTCCTTTTGCTTTCAGTAGTTTGAAATAGGGAAAACAAGTGGATAACTTGCTTTGAAGCCAGGAGTTTGTTCTTTATGTGTCTGGGGAGAATTCTGCCAGGATGTTAGAATGAGGGAAGGTTAAGAAACAGTAAGAATGGCTGTGGGGTTTCCCAGCTTGCGGAATCTTGGGATCAGTTGAGGGCAGTGGTGAGTGGAGTGGTGGAGTGGTGGGTGATGGGCACGGGAAGATTCCCACAAGCATCCGGACTTGGGGTGAACAGGACAGCACTTATTTTATAACCTCATTCATTTGCTTAGAAGTGAAAAGAGCCCTAGGAGGCCTTGTAGAGAAATCCCTTCTGGAGCCAAGGGTGAACTGCTGGAGTAGTAGTTGTGTGACGGTCACAGTCATGGCAAAACAGACCAGAGAAGCACAGTGTGCCGAGGGCTCCCCTGCCTACGGGAATTCTGTCCTCACCAAACAGTGCTTTTCCTTCCTCCGTTCCTTTGCTTCCTCCTCCTCATCAGGTGTCCTTAACCTTCTCTAAGCTGAGGGACTGTGCTAGGCATGCGGCTTAAGGAATGGACAAGATACCCTGATCTCCCTGTTCTGGAGCTTATTGTGGGAATAGGGACAGATAAAGAAAGAGATGATGGCCACTGGAATGTGATCATGTTAAACTTTGTTTTATTCATTTTTGTGTCTGCTGTTTAACATTTGAATGAAACTCTTAGGCTAAATCCTCAGTGAGAGGAGGGCAAGTAAAGGCTAATTAAAGGGCAAAGAGTGGGGTTCTTTTTTTTTGTTCCCCTGGAGGGACAAATTTCATGCTTTAATTCCTTAAGCATGGTTCAGAGGATTCTTTAACGGGAAGTATGTTTGAAATACTGTAAGGTCAGCTTTGTACTCTATGACTCTGTTGTGTTGTCTCTGGAAGCTATGAAAAGCTTCCTTTAGCTTGCTTATGGTATAGATAGATAATGTGATATCATCAAAGAGTAAGTTTCAGAGGAAAACCCTCTTTAGGCTGGAGATACGTGGTGGGGGTATTTTTTATTTAATGTTTCAGTTATATTGACCTCTCAATATTTTATTTTTAAATTATTTTTTAATTTATTTTTTTAGTAGGCTCCACACTCAGCATGGAGCCCATCTCGGGGCTTGAACTCACCGCCCTGAGATCAAGACCTGACCTGAGATCAAGAGTCAGACACTTAACCGACTGAGCCACCCAGGCATCCCCCTGTATCATTATTTTAAAAAACGCACTATTTTTTGCCATTAGGACATTAAAGGCCGGCCTTGTGAAAATTTGCGATGTTGCTAGGCTATGTCCCAAGCAGCCACTGCCACAGGAGGTGTAAGCAGATGCTTATGGTGCAGTGACTGAATACTTGGGTGTTTCTGAGCGTGATTTGTATGTTTGTTATCTATACTTTGTCATGACAGTATGAATACGATAATCTTTTTTCCCCCCTAGTTGCCTGATCTGGTACCCCAGCTGGGAACACTATACCAGTTAATGGAAAGCAGAGTAAAAACTTTTCAGAAACTGTCCCACCTTCATGGAAAGCTTATTCTTCTAATCACTCAAGTGAGTAAATCAGATTGTTTTGTGCTAAACTTTAGATGTGATAGGAATAGAGAGGAAAAGGATCCTTTACCTGAACATTGAAAGCCCCATGTTTCAGCAAGAAATTGATAAATCAGGATCCAGTCTTTAACTTTGGAAATGTTATGTATTTGGCAGTAGGTAAATTTACTTGTGCCGGATTCTGCTTTTCCTCAAAGGTTCTCACTGTCCTATGTCAGTTGTTAATATAGTTAGGATGGTTGTGCTACTATGAACAGCAAGTTACACGGTATTTATACAGTTACAGTTTTGGCACCGAAGCAAGTTCTGATCCAACTTTTACAGAGTAATTCTTTATTCTTGTATTTAACAAGTTTGTTTTTTGCCCTGTATTGATCTGCATTGTATTGAGGTCATCCATCATACTGGTTGAGGGCAAGGGAAGGTGGAGTGTGGTGGTGGCTGCTGTACTTGAGATAACCTTTACTCTACTTCAGAATAATACTTGATTATCTTTCAGGTTACAGCGTCAGAAAAAACAAAGGCAATGACTTGTCCTGCACAAAAGGCAAAATTGGTGTATGAGGAAGGTAAGGCTTGAGGGTCCTGTAGATCTCGAATTGGAACATTCATTTTTTAACATTGAGTTCTGTCACCTTATTTTGTAGAACATGACTGTGAGTAAGATCATACTATGGCACACCAGATTTTCTAATAAAATGTGCAAGCCTGTGGCAAAAACACGATCCGTTAAGAAAAGAAAAGGTGCAAATACTGTATGGTAAAACGAGAGAGGGCACTAGGTATGGAAGATAAAGTTAGGTGTAGGAGAGCACGTGAACAAGCTTCCATGCCGGCCATTAAAACCCTAGATGAGAAGAGGTGATTTCCTCGGAAACATGAATGACAAAAGTGATTTAGAAATAGAAATAGAAACCTTGACTAAGCCAGTGGCCTTGAATTGATTTAATCAAAACCTTTGCTCAAGGATGCCAGGCACAGAGTTTTTATAGGTGAATTTTATCAGTCTTTCAAGGAACAAGTCATTTTTGTCATATATAACAATTCAGGCATTTTGTGAGTCAAAACCAGGTAAGGAGAGTTAAGAAAACATTTTAGAATGTCTTTAAATATCTTGAGTAGCAAATTGATTACAGAAGTACTTAAGATAATGTCATTACCAAGTAGAATTTATTTAAAGATTGTAAGGCGATTTAGCATCAAGAAATCTATTTAATGTAGTTACCACATTAACAGATTAATAGGGAACAGTATATATTAATAGATGGAGAAAAAGAATTGAGTTAAATTTAGTCTTCCATCTCATTATTGATAATCTGAGCAACCTACGAGTTTAAAGGAATTTCCCTAATCTCTATCAGACAAAGTTGAGAAGCATTCCCGTAAAGTCAGGAACTAGACAATAATGTACCTTTTATTGCTTCTGGATATCTTGCCTAGTATTGTATGAAAGAAGTGAATTATAGAACATTGGACTTGGCTGGCAGTTGTTACCCTTCTCAACTTAGAAAATGCAGCAGAATCTACAGTTATACCATCATTAATGAGATAGGGAAGTAAGCAAGTTTACTGGACACCCAAGACGAGCAGAAAGGAATCAGTTGCATGGTTGTCTCAGCAATGTATGTCTACTAATGTATTTCCCAGTCAGAAAATGTATTAGGAAAAAAGATTTCATTCACAGCAGCAGTCAGAATTAGGAAGTACCTAGATATATATCTAAAAAATGAAATAAAACCTTTATAGAGAAAATAATAAAACATAGCTGAAGGACATAAAAGCATACCTGAATTAATTACTTAGACTTTATTTTTTTCCAGTTTTACTGAGATATAATTACATATAACATATTTTTTTAGGTGTACAACATAATGATTTGATGATCTATGTATATATTGTGAAATGATCACCATTATATGTTTAATTAACATCTATCACCACACATAGCTGCAGTTACTTTCTTATGCTGAGAGCTTTTTACTCTCCTAACAGCTTTCAGATACACAGTACGATATTGTTAAGTGTGGTCACCATGCTGTACGTTATATTCCCAGGACTGACTTCTCTTATTGGAAGTTTGTACCTTTTGATTTTCACTCATTTCCCCCACCCTCCACACCTCTGGCGACCACCAGTCTTTCTCTGTGTCTATTGGTTTGGTGTTTTAGATTGCACATCTAAGTAAGATCATACAGTATTTACTGTTCTCTGTCAGACTTACTGCACCTGGTACAGTGCCCTCCTGGCCCATCCATGTTGTCACAAATGGGAGGGTTTCCTTTTTTTTAATAGCTAAATGGAATTCAGTGGCTGAATGTATATCACATTTTCTTTAACCATCCATCCAGTCCATCGATGGACTCTTAGGTTGTTCCAATGTCTTGGCTGTTGTAAATAATGCTGCAGTGAACATGGGGGTGCAGGAATCTCTTAGATCCTGATTTCGTTTCCTTTGACATATACCCAGCAGTGGAATTGGTGGATCATCTGGTAGCTTTATTTTTAGTTTTTAATTTCTTAGGGAGCCTCCATACTGTTTTCAATAATGACTGCACCAATTTACATTTCTACCAGCAGTACCATGAGGGTTTCCTTTTCTCCACATCCACGGCTTAGTTTTTTAAGATGGATTGTGTTAGGGTTTTGGTACTTTGTCCTACTCAGTGAGATCTTGATAGATGGACTTTTATGCAGATAGGAATATTAATGTTACTGCTTAGATGGATGGTAGCTGAATGCAGTATTTGTAAAAGTAAATTCAGGAATCTGACTCTGTTGTTAGGGCTCTGCCCTCTGCTTGTTGATCACCACCTTAAGGCTGCGTTTTTCCCCTTGTAGAATCTTCTGAAGAGGAGTCAGATGACGAAATTGCAGAGAAGGACTCTGATGTGAGTACCTTGTTTCCTGGTGCATAAATCTGCCTTTACAGCCTTGCGCTCTGTATGAACAAGGCCTTCATGAATGCTTTCCATGCCGCATCTCTTTCCACCAGGATAACTGGGATGAGGATGAGGAAGAGAAAGAAAGTGGAAAAGACGAGGATGTTGATGAAGAGAACGAAGAGGAGGAGGAAGATGCTGAAGAAAAGGATGAAGAGAATGGGGAGGAGGACAGGGATGTCGCCAGTGAGAAAGAATTAAATGGAGATTCCGACTTAGATCCCGAAAATGAAAGTGAAGAAGAATGAGGACGGAGAACAAGCCGGTGGAGCTGTCACCTCCGGTGCGCCTTCCCCAGTGCTGCCGAGTTCTCCTGGGAAGGGTTGTCTCTGGAACAGGCGCCAAGGACCGTTGCACATTTCCAGATTCCTCGTGGTGGTTCCCATGCCGTCTTGCTGTCCCGAGCACCCCAGACTTCACTGTGTATATAAGAGTGTTTCCTTCAAATGCTAATAAACTTGACACAGCAAATAGACACCTTTTCTGCAATGTACTGACATGAGTGTCCAGTATATGGTATATTTTTATAATATAATATCCCAGTATGGTTGGTTATAGCAAGAATTGACATAAGTGAAGACACAGACATTTCCCATGTAGGGTTTCAAAAACTGGACTTTTGTGAAGGAGTCAGCTCTTATCTCAGGTTGGTATCTTTCATCAGATCCAGATACGAAGCGGCACTAGTGAAAACAGTTTTTAATTTGGTACATTTTCATAAAATATGAAGGGATAACTAAAGATTTGGAGTAAAAACAGTTGGGATTTAAAAACTTTTAAGTATCAGTATCCCTAGCTTGTCTATTAAATGGTGGTGGTCTGATTTGAGTCAGGTTGAGTATTTGGAGTGCTTCCCCCAAACAGCCACTTATTTTTTAAGCTGTCATGTGGAATATTTTTTTAAAACGAAAAATTATGGTAATTAAAAAACTAAAGAATTAGCCATATTAAATAGGGTTTTTCTCAACTGCAAGTTGCCTGTAAAGAATCATCAGTGTATAGATTTAGAAGTACTCATTATCTGCAACTTTTTAAAAAATTCAGTTATAGCTGCTTTTGAAGAGGTTTTCATTTTTATTTAAATTACTAATGGATCAAAGAACAACTGTTTATTTTTTCTCTTTGGTTTTAGATATTAATGATAACCTTGTTGGAATTTTTTTCCAAAGAAAATATTTTTATAATTCAGTAATTTAATGTTTTCCTTCCTTTTCATTACCCACTCTTGGCAGTGTTAGGGTATCTGTTTACCTTTAAAATAATAAATCTGACTCAAGATTTTTTATGTATGTGTAAATAAGTATTTTGGTGTGCTACAAAAGCCTTTTCAAATTATCAGTAATTTTTTTTTTTTTTTTAATTAAAAGAATGAGCCAGTATTTGTGTAGTGCTCTCTAGGGAACAATGCAGATGGAAGCTCAACTCTAAGGGAGGGCTGGGGAGATGGGTTTATTTTTACCACCTGTGAATATGTAAAACACAAAACCATTATCTCTGAGGGACTTTTTAACTTTAATGGCAGAACAGAGATTTCTGTGCTCAACTCATAGAGCTGGAGCCACACAAGCATCTTGGGAAAACAAGTTTGAGCCGCTACTGGTGTAATGTACAGTTATATTTGTCTATAAATGGAACTGTTTATGGCAATTTAATACCATTCTCTTTGTAAAGTGAATAAATATTCATCTTTACCCGGTGCTTGTCTTGTGGTATATGTAGAGGAACACAGCCACGTTTGGGCTTGTGTGCACGTTTCAAGAAAGTGATCTTAACTCCACTAGCATTAAAAGGTAAGCATGCTCTCTGGGTTTGTTGGAAAATCTAGAATTTGTAATGAAGTGAAAGAACCACGAACTTTGAATTTAGATGCAGCCCCCTTGGCCGGGTGATGCTTCCACAGCCCGAGGCTGCAGCGGCATCGCCAGGATGGAGGTGCTCATCCTCTGGGTCCTGCTCTGTGCTCTGTGAGTCTCCTTCCCTGCACGTGACTCTCCCTGAAGGAGTCGAGGCCTACGGTGTGTAGCGATTGCTTACTCATTATTTTGGGGGTTAGACAAATCCAGGGCTTAATTAGGCTTGTCCCAAAGACATTTCTGGCTTCAGGGTATTTTTCACTATGTTGTTCCATTCCTAATCCAGGCAACAACACTTTCTGTGGGTAGGGTCATCTTTTCTGAGATAATTTTCTTCCCAACCTTTGATTTTGGAAAGTTAACCTTCCATCATCATCGAGGATTACACGTTCTATTTGGTGGTGGTTGCTCTATATGTGTATGTGTGTGTGTCTTATTGCTCCCTTAATCCAGAATTCGCCCTTGTGTGCTTGTGTGTGTTTCATGATTTTGATGTTTGAATGATTCCATATAAGCTGTGTTAGAGAATGTTTTATAACCTGGATTTGTCTGTTTCCTTATGATTAGATTCTGGCTTAAATGTTTTTTGGCAAGAATTCTAAATAGGTACTGATATTTGAGATTAATTTGTAAAAGTAGTTCTTTGGGTATAGATGAATATAGAGTATAAGTATGTTTTGACATAAGTAGATGTTCAGCTTTTAGGTTTAGGACTTTTGAAGTTTTAGTGCAGAGGGGTGTTTGAGGGTCAGAAACAGGATCTTGGTAGTGAGAACACTGGGTATATTGATGCTATATAAGGCTCTTTCCTGTGGAAGTTAACTCATCATTGTACATACGTTCATTTAACAAATATTTATTGATTGCCAACTCTGTGCCAGGGATTATGTGGGTGGTTGGTATACATCACTGAATTCTGTCCTGAGGAGCCGACGTTCTACCAGAGAGATCTAGGCAAAAAACACTGTATCAAGAGTAAGTAAATTCTATGTAGTATGTTAGAGGGTGGTAACTTCTGGGGAGAAAAAGTGGAGTAAGGAAATGGGGAGTCTGGGTGGGGGGCGATGTAGGTTGCAGAATTAAATACACGATCAGGTTAGGGTTTATTGAGAAGGCGAGACTTACCATAAACTAGGAGGGGTGGGGAGTTAGCAAGTGGGTATCTGGGGAAAAGTGTTCTGAGCGAGGAAACTGAGCAAAGACCCTGTGGTTAGCACAAGCCTGTGATTGTGTTACAGAGAGATGTCAGTGAGACTGGAAAGGAGGGAGAAAGAGTGCATCAAGAGGTTAGCGGAGAGATAATGAGTAGTCAGGTTGCATAAGGCCTTTCAGGCCACTGTAGGGACTGGTCATGCTCTCAGTGAAACACTGTTGCAGTGTTTGAGCAGAGTTGTGCTCTGTGCTCTTGACTTATGTGTTGAGAATTTTGTATCACCAGGGTGCTATGTTGAGAAATTGAAGGACTGCATCCTAACAGGCAGAAGCCAGTAGGATGCTTTTGCAGTAATCCAAATGAGAGATGACAGTGATTTAGGCCAGGGTGGTGGTCATGGAGTTTGGTTGGTTTCTGGGTTGTTTTAAAGTTAGAGCTAATGGGATTTCTTATGAGGGAGGCAGAGAAGTCAGGGAAGACTCCCAGGTGTTTTTTCCCTAGAGCACCTGGATGATGCTGTGGGTGGAGCAGGTTTTAGAAAAGTAGATCAGGAATTGAGTTTCAGACATGTTGAGTTACAGATACCTAATTAGGAATGTGAATACATACCCAGCTGACTTGGGGAAAGGTCGAAAGGGAGGCAGAGATTTGGTATTGACATGTATGTGACAGTAAAGCCACAAGACTGGATGAGCTTCCCATGGAGTGAATGTACATAGGAAGAGCACCCAGGCCTGGTGCTCCAGCATCGGAGTAAGAGAAGAGAAACCCCAAGGGACCCATCCAAGAGAGTGTCCGTAACGTAGGAAGGATTAATGTGTAACTCTTCATTCTCTTCAAATCTGAATTCATGACAACTTTTAGCCCTGATTTCTTTCAACTCTAAGTGATGTTCCTGGTGAGTCCTCCCAGGCCGCAGTGAGGTTATGATGTTTGCCCTTTGTATGACCGTTTTGTTGATCCCTTCTTTGAAGGCAACTCAGGCATACAATTTGTTTCTTTAACCCAATGTTGTGGTCTTCACCTTTATGGCCCCTTAGCACTGTCCCTTGTGCTGACCCATTATGTGTCCAAATTGTATACTGGATTGGAAGGTGCAGAACGAGAGGTCACAGGAGTGTGGACAGATGAGCAAGCATTCAGACAGGAAACACAGTCTGGCAGAGGCACCGGATAGGTAGGGTTCACTCTTCTGCACAGTGCTGGCTGACTTGCCGTGAGAAAACCAGATGGGCTGTACTTGGCAGTACTCTGATGGATTGTCATAAATATGTGGATGATTTTTAATAGGAAGGTCGTTCTGAGAGGAACCGGGCAATTATAAATGCACTTGAGGAGGTGAGGAATGTCAAATGAAAAACCCAAAAGTTGAGGTACCTGGATGGCTCGGTCGGTTAAGCGTCTGTCTTCGGCTCAGGTCATGATCCCAGGGTCCTGGGATGGAGTCCCACATTGGGTTCCTTGCTCAGTGGGGAGCCTGCTCCTCCCTCTGCCCGCACCTCTCCCTGCTTGTGCTCTCTCTCTCTCTCTCACAAAATCTTTTTTTTTAATTTTTTATTGTTATGTTAATCACCATACGTTAATCATTAGTTTTGGATATAGTGTTCCATAACTCATTGTTTGTGCATAACACCCAGTGCTCCACGCAGAACGTGCCCTCTTTAATACCCATCACCAGGCTAACCCATCCTCCCACCCTCTCCCCTCTAGAACCCTCAGTTTGTTTTTCAGAGTCCATCGTCTCTCATGGTTGGTCTCCCCCTCCGATTTCCCCCCCTTTATT